CCAGAGAACAGCAAGGAGAGATAAGGAGGCCTTCCTGAATGAACAGTGCAAAGTAATAGAAGAAAACAATAGAATGGGAAGGACTAGAGATCTCTTCAAGAAAGTTGGAGAAATCAAGGGAGCGTTCCATGCAAAGCTGGCCATGATAAAGGACAAAAACGGTAGGGACCTAACAGAAGCAGAAGAGATTAGGAAAAGATGGCAAGAATACACAGAAGAACTATACAAGAAAGACCTCGATGTCCTTGACAACCACGACGGTATAATCACTGACCTCGAGCCAGACATCCTGGAATGTGAAGTTAAATGGGCCTTAGAAAGCATTACTAACAACAAAGCTAGTGGAGGTGATGGTATTCCAGCTGAGCTATTCAAAGTCTTAGAAGATGATGCTGTTAAAGTTCTGCACTCCATTTGCCAGCAAATTTGGAAAACGCAACAGTGGCCACAGGATTGGAAAAGGTCAGTATACATTCCAATCCCAAAGAAGGGCAATGCCAAGGAATGTTCAAACTATCGCACAATTGCACTCATATCACACGCTAGCAAGGTCATGCTCAAGATCCTACAAGCTAGGCTTCAACAGTACGTGGATAGAGAACTACCAGAAGTACAAGCTGGGTTTCGAAGAGGTAGAGGAACTAGAGATCAAATTGCCAACATTCGCTGGATTATGGAGAAAGCAAGAGAGTACCAGAAAAATATCTACTTCTGCTTCATTGACTATGCTAAAGCTTTTGACTGTGTGGATCACAACAAACTATGGCAGGTCCTTAAAGAGATGGGAGTACCAGACCACCTCACATGTCTCTTGAGAAACCTGTATAAGGGCCAAGAAGCGACAGTTAGAACCGGATATGGAACAACTGATTGGTTCAGCATAGGAAAAGGAGTACGACAAGGATGTATACTGTCACCTTGCTTATTTAATATATATGCAGAGTACATCATGCGAAATGCTGGCCTGGATGAATCACAAGCGGGAATTAAGATTGCTGGGGAAAAGATCAACAACCTCAGATATGCAGACGATACCACTCTAATGGCAGAAAGTGAAGAGGACCTAAAGAGCCTCTTGCTCAGGGTAAAAGAGGAGAGCGCAAAAGTGGGCTTGAAGCTCAACATCAAAAAAACTAAGATCATGGCATCCGGCCCCATCACTCCTTGGCAAATAGAAGGGGAAGTCGTGGAAGTAGTGACAGACTTCACGTTCCTGGGATCCCAGATCACCGCAGACTGTGACAGCAGCCATGAAATTAAAAGACGCCTGCTCCTTGGGAGGAAAGCGATGGCGAACCTAAACAGCATGATAAAAAGTAGAGACATCACCCTGCCAACAAAAGTCCGCATGGTCAAAGCAATGGTATTCCCAGTAGTCATGTATGGCTGTGAGAGTTGGACTATAAGGAAGGCCGAGCGCCGAAGAATAGATTCTTTTGAACTATGGTGCTGGAGGAGACTCTTGAGAGTCCCTTGGACTGCAAGAAGAACAAATCAGTCAATCCTCAAAGAAATCAACCCTGACTGTTCCCTGGAAGGCCAGATAATGAAACTGAAGCTCAAATACTTTGGCCACCAAATGAGAAGGGAGCACTCACTGGAGAAGACCCTGATGCTGGGAAAGATTGAAGGTCAAAGAAGACGGGGATGGCAAAGGATGAGATGGTTAGACAGTGTCATCGATGCAACGAACATGAAATTGAGCCAACTTCAGAGGACGGCAGAAGACAGGAGGGCCTGGCGGGAGCTGGTCCATGGGGTCGCGAAGAGTCAGACTCGACTGTGCGACTGAACAACAATTGGCAATATACTGGCATGGAACTGATGAACAAATTGCATCCTTTACAGTAACAAGGGCTACGACATTATACCCTGCTTGTGCTTAAACAGTTCTCTTACATATGGTCTTAATGAGGTAGACTCCTTCCCAGTGCTCGGTTCCTGCTGGAGCTCACCGGAGCAAAGCTCCAGCAGAAAGGATCCCAGGAGGCAGGCACATGCAACAAGCCCCGCCCCCTGCTCCCAGCAGCCATGGGGCCCTACAGGCTGAGGCTGCTGCTGCCCCACTCTGCTGTGCCTGTGTGCTTCTTGTCCCGGCGGATGAGGCGGCCCGCCCAGGAGTACAAGTGGAGGGAGGGACTGGCAGAACTGGTTGGGGAGGTTGAGCCCAGCCTTAACTCCTTCCTCACTCGTCCAGTGGTCAAGAGGGCAGTCGACTTGGGACTCTGCTGGCCACACACGAGGTTGCTGCAAGGGGAGAGGGAAGCAGCCGCTTTCCTCCCTCTCCTCCCTGGCCCGACTGGCTTCAGGTTTCCCCTCCTTTTCTCTGCTCCTTTTGGGGGGCCTTTCTTGGGAGTTGACAGTTGCCCAGTTGCCTGGAATTTGGGCAGGAAGTCCGTTGCCGGCTACCGTGCTTTCCCCTCTGCATGAGTCACTCACGCTGCCCCTCAGCCACGGCGACAGGGAAGGCACCTGTTGTTCCTGTAAGGCAGGCAAGCAGGCGTGCAAGCTGCACAGAAGCATTGCTGATGAGTTTCCCGGTGCCTTCTTTGCCCTGGAGCAAGGCTTCTTGTGGGGTGGGCTGGGGTGGGAAAGAAGCTTCTTGGCCTGGCTTTGCTATTTGCCAGCTCTAAAGTTTTACTCCTCCAGGCTGCAGAAAGGAAGGTGGAGTGTGTGTGTGTGGACAGAGAGAGAAAGAGAAAGGAGTAGAAAAAACTGTGAATTAAAAACAATATATATACAAAACAGGCTTCTTACTATTTGCAGTGCAAATTCTTGAAAAATTGAAGCAAAACTCCCCCCCCCCTTTCTGACTGCTCACGACAGAAAGCTGAACTCTTGCTAATGAGTTTATCTGGGGATGTACTAAACGGAAGGACAGGATTGCTCATTTGAAACAATGGGAAACACTTGAAGGCCCATTGGAAATAATGGGAGCCAGTAATGCCAATTGATTTCCATGGGTTTCCATTGAAATACATTACAGCTCAAGAAGAGTTGCAAAGAAAGTGCGAAATGGATTTTCAATTAAGGTCTCTGATCTCAAATACACTACTCTGGGACTGGAATGGCAGTCCCTGGGGCAGCCCTTGGGGGTACCAGGAGTATAATGGGACTGGAATGAAAGGGACTGAAATGACAGGCCCCAGAGTGGAATGACATCTGCTACCCCCCAGGTGCTGTCATTCCACTCCTAGAGCACTCCTACTACTCCCAGGGGCTGTAATTCCACTCTGGGGCCTGTCATTCCAGTCCCAGAAGACTACAGTTACTTCCAGGGGCTGTAATTCCACTCTGGAGCCTGTCATTTGAGTCCCAGAACACTCCTGCTACCCTCAGGGGCTGTCATTCCACTCTTGGGCCTGTCATTCCACTCCCAGAACACTCGTGCTACCCCCAGGGTCTGTCATTCCACTCTGGGGCCGGTCTTTCCAGTTGCAGAACACTCCTGTTATCCCCAGGGGCTGTCATTCCACTCTTGGGCCTGTCATTCCACTCCCAGAACACTCGTGCTACCCCCAGGGTCTGTCATTCCACTCTGGGGCCGGTCTTTCCAGTTGCAGAACACTCCTGTTATCCCCAGGGGCTGTCATTCCACTCTTGGGCCTGTCATTCCACTCCCAGAACACTCGTGCTACCCCCAGGGTCTGTCATTCCACTCTGGGGCCGGTCTTTCCAGTTGCAGAACACTCCTGTTATCCCCAGGGGCTGTCATTCCACCCTCAGAACACATGTTACCCCCAGGGGCTGTCATTCTACTCTGGGGCCTGTCATTCCACCCTCAGAACACATCTGTTACCCCCAGGGGCTGTCATTCCACTCTTGGGCCCATTCCTGGCTCCCATTGTTTCCAGTGGGCCTTCAAGTCTCTCCCATTGTTTCCAATGGGCAATCCTGTCCTTCCTTATAGTACATCCCGTCAAAACCTTGGAGCTGGAGAGGGTTCCCTCTCCTTTTAAATTATTCTTAGTATTGCACTGGTATGACTTCCAAGTGGCTGGTCATCAGTGCAATAGGAATCAGTGCAATAGGAATCAGTGGGATGTGTGAGTGATGAATAAACCTTATTTCACTTACAAGAACAGCCTTGTTAAATCAGCTGTTCTTTCGGAGCTTGCATTGCCAAAAGCTTGGTTTTGCATCCTTCTGCCTTTTTCTTTCTGGGTTCTGTACCCATTCCATCAATTTTGGGGTTAGTTATGACCTTTTGTGGCTGTAGAAAGAGGTCTGGTAAGCTGAAGGGCTTTATTGCTTTAAAGGGTTGTGATTTAATTGGGAGGGAGGGGAAAGAACAGTACAACTTTAAGCACCCTTTGTCATTTGTCATGTCGGGCTCAGAAATGCTTGATTTGGGCATATGTTATGGAGAAGTTGCAATTAGATAATTCATATATATATTGTACCAGTGATATATGTGTTGAAGTCTGTTTAAATGATCTTAAATGCCTGAGTAGTGGGTGTTGCCTTTTGACATACTTCCGATGATGTCAGGGGGTGTGGCATATGCAAATAAGTTATGCTAATGAGCTCCTGCACCTCTTTTTTAACGAAATGACCCCTGCTCCTTCCATTATCTTGCATTCATTCCTGAAAGGTAGCTCCTCTTTCTGTATAGTAGATCCTATCGCACCTCAAGCCAGAGAATCTTTATGATACAGGCATCAACTTGCAGAACATCTCTTTTCTCTACCTATGGTTAATTCTTTTTTCTCAGCAGAATGTTATCCTGTCATACAACTATAGGTCCTACTCATGTTCTCCTATGGCTATTTTACAACATACACAAAAAAACAGACAGAACGCTACTTGTACAATAGATTAATTATTGCATCGCAAGTCTTCAGGAACAGCTTCATTCCAAATGCTCATTTATCCATTATTTCAACCAAAAGAAGCAGAAGAACCTATGGAACTGTGGAGTAAAGGAAATGAATAAATCTGTATTTTATAATGATCCTGTACAACACAACTGTAGCAAAAGGTAGGAAAAGGATACTTACTGTTTTCTTCAGGATTTTGACAGCATAGGGCTTCTGTGTTCCCTTCTGCCTGCATCTGTACACAATAGATGTAGCACCCCTGAATGAAAGAGAAAATACAATTTCATACTCATATAAATGGAATACATTTACGTAATGTGTGGCTAGCACATACGGGTCTCTCAAAACTAGAATTCTGCTTCAAATTCAATGTGCTGAAATAAAAGAATAAAACTCATATCCTTCAGATTTTTCACTGCTCTATATAAATTCAAATACTTGTTTTAGATTTGTTTCAGATATATTACTTATAATTCCACATCTATACCAGTAAATATATCCATAATCCCAATCTCGTTAGCCACATGTACTCTGCTCAGGCATCATCAATATCAAAAGGCTTTCACTGCTAATGACCTTTACCAGACATTCTCCGGGCACATGGGGGTTGGGGAGGGGAAGTATCATGGTGGCAAACTCCATCCCTGACCTACACTTTTTTACTCAAACAAGAGTATAGAGCCTATGCATGTACATGTATACATGAGTATGGCTCTCTCCATACATTCAGGATCTACCCTGGTTCCTAACCATAGAGACAGCTGTTTGCACACAGACTCCATACACTCATTCCTGTGGGTTGGATCCCACATAGACTTCCACAGGCACAAAGGGGGAAGTTGCTTTTGCTGATTTCTCTCTCCCACAGGGGACCTGGGAATGCCAGCAATAGTTTGGGAGGGAATTGGAGGTGTCCATGGAAATCTTGTGGGATCTAAGTCAATGAATGCATGTAGGTGGAGGCAGAGATTGCCTCTGGGATCCCATTGCACCCCCCCCCTTTCATTCTATGCTGAAATAACACTTGAAAAAGCTTCTAATGGTTTTACTGTGCAGGATGTAGGGAGTTTTGAAAACAGAGCACCCCCTTTTCCCTTTGAAAAATCAGGTGCATGGAGACCTAGTTTTGGACTGGGTCCATGGAGCGAGAGGAAGAGAATTGTTCCTTTTTTTGTAACCTGAAATTGCCCCAGAGAGCCAGTATGTGTCTCACTGGGGAAATATACAGGTACTGACATGTCATTGAGCCCTAAGAGTGCAATCTTAAGTACAGTTGTACAGCCAAAAGTATAACTATGTTTAGGATCGTGCCCGTCTCCCTCAGAAGAGAATCTGCTTCATTAGTGGCTCTCTCTGCTCTGAATGATAGTTATAATTCCACTGCTGGAATTACTTTAAAGCACTAGAAAATATAATGTTCAGCTGTCAGTGTTGGTAAGGACTTTCCTGCTTTTATAAATCAAAGGTTAAATAAAAAAATAAATAAAAAAAATTCTTCAAAGTTTTAGATACTTTAGATAAAGTACAAGTGCAAAGACAGAATTGGGTGACATACTTTTTCATATGAGATATATATACAGCAGGTTTTTTTAAAATGTTATTTGATAGAACTCTGAATAGACTGCAATATTTTATCTTATGAATAATCTGTTCATTTGTAACATAACTTTAGCAAAAATTCTACTTCTACAACTCTCATATGCACACACACCCACATCCTTCCCATGTTCATATATTTTGAATACATGTGAGAAATTGGCAAATGGTTATATAAGCAAGCAAACCATATTCTAAAATGTATCTTTGTTGAATAAATATGGAGTTGAACTCAGGATGACCTAACATAGCAACATCCTTAGCACATTCTAAAGAAGTTGTAGCATAAAGCAGATGTAAGTAATGGCAAAATGGGAAAGACAAATGGACAAAGGAAAAAGGAACTTTGACTAAAAGTGCTTCAGGTAAAGCTGAAGAAATCAAGAGTATCTGGTCTAGGGTTGTGCAAAACCACCACCACCACCACCAGTATTTTTCGGGTTTGGGTATATATAGGGTGGTGCTAGGAGAGAGAGGGTCACTTCAGCACTCCTTGGTATGTGGGGTCCCTCAGGGGGCAATCCTCTCTCCAATGCTGTTTAACATCTATATGTGCCCCTCGCCCACCTGGTGTGGAGTTTCAGGCTGGGTTGCCATCAGCATATAGATGACACCCAGCTGTACCTGCTGATGGACAGCCAGCCAGATGTTGCCGCAGCTATTCTGGCTGAAGGACTGGAGGCTGTGGTTGGATGATTGAAACAGAGCCAGCTGAGACTGAATCCATCAAAGACGCAGGTTCTATGGCTGGGTAGAGGGGCTTCAGGGCTGGAGTGCCAACTCCCAGCTCTTGACAGTGTACCTCTAACACCAGTACCAACTGCCAAGAGCCTAGGTGTGTTTGTGGATGCCTCCTTGTCGATGGAGGCTGAGATCACAAATGTTGCTAGACTGGAGTTTCTCCAGCTGCTCCTTCCTGTGTCACCCTAACCTAGCCACACTAATCCATGCAATAGTCACCTCCAGGTTAGACTACTGTAACTTGCTCTACACAGGGCTACCCTTGAAGTTGACCCAGAAATTACAACTGGTCCAGAATATATTTATTTGTTGTATTTATATCCCACCCTTCCAGCAAGCGGGTTCAGGGCAGGTAACATACTGGAACCCCTCTGACAGCACACATTCAACCAGTGCTTCACCAGCTGCACTGGCTCCAGATTGAGTACCAGATCAGATTCAAGGTTTTGGTATTAACCTTTAAGACCCTAAACAGTCTGGGACCAACGTATCTACGGGACTACCTCTTCTGGTATACCCCCACAAGAGCATTATGCTTTGGTGATCCCTGGCCTGAAAGATATCCGGCTGTCCTCAACCAGAGCCAAGGCCTTCTCAGCCCTGGTACCGGCCTGGTAGAACTCTGCCTAATGACTTGCATGCCCTGTGGGACCTAGTACAGTTTTGCATAGCCTGTAAGACAGAGATGTTCCACCAGGCCTATGGTTGAGGACAGCAATGGTTTTTCAGCAAGCCTGGCCTCCCTCCATTCTCTCCTCTCCGCTCATGATGTACGGACATAAATTGGTCTTTTAAATTCCATCTGAAGTAGTTATAGAACTTTTCTATAGTTTTTAATTGTTTTAATCTGATTGAAATGTATTTATTGAATATACTGTTCACTGCCCTGAGCCCTACATGTAGAAGAAGAAGAAGAGAAGAGGAGATTGGATTTATACCCCGCCCTTCACTACCCAAGGGAGTCTCAGAGCATCTTACAAACCCCTTTCCCTTCCCCTCCCCACAACAGACACCCTGTGAGGTAGGTGGGGCTAAGAGAGCTCTGACAGAAACTACTCTTTTTCAAGGACAGCTCTTATCAGAACTACGGCTTGCCCAAGGTCATCCAGTCAGGTGCAAGTGGAGGAGTGGGGAATCAAACCTGGTTCTCCCAGATTAGAGTCCACGCACTAACCACTACACCAAACTGTAGGGGAGGATGGTCTATAAATCAAATAAATAAATAAATATTGAACCTGACAAATATTGTTATTTCCCGATACTCCCAAATCCCAATACCGGTATGGTATTTGGATTCAGAAAATATTCGGGATTCCTGAATTTTTTGGGGTCCAATGGACCCAAGAAGAAAAAAACCCCAAGAGGATCGGCTGGAGCCAAGAGCTCTGCGCTGCCCCAGCCAGTCCTGGGCTGGCTCCTCTTTGCAGTTCAGTTGAAACAGAGTTCTGCTGGGGCTCTGCCAGGCAGCCTCATTTAGACTGGACTGCCCAAACAGAGCCGCCCTCATCCTCCATTGTTTCCAATGGGGGGAAGGCATTTAAAGGGACTATGGTCCCTTTAAATGCCTTTTGCAAGCCATGAGTGTCCAAATATTTTCATGATTTTTAGGGGTGTCTATTTTCGGACAGCTGAATCCATGGCCTACTCTGTAACTGGCTGAGAAAATACTGATAATGTATTTATTGGGTGTTTTTTCAGCTCGGCTTATACTGAAAGCATACCCATAATCTGGTCCATTCAGCAATAAATCAGAAAAGTCTTTAGGTATAACCAATTGCCTTTGCATACTAGTTATATAATGATATTTAAGACTGATGCATTATCTTGGTATGTAAGCAAGTTTAAACTACTAGATTTCTTCTCAGTTGTTCCTCTACAGCTGTGGAACCTCCATTCCGTCTGTTCTTATAAATGGATATCACCATACAGCAGGGAGCTATTGCTGTTGTTGGAAGGCTCCTTAAGCTGGAAGAAGACTTTAAACTTTGCTGAAAGGACTGGTAGAATACAACTCACCAACATGTACACAGACAGTCTTAATCAAAATACGTTCAGGTTCACATTCACTTATATATACAATATAAAATAGGAATACGGAGGGAAGTAGTTAAATGCTAGATGAATATAATATACAATGAAGTGCATCAGATTTTAGCCAGTTATTTTGAGTGCCTTTGCAAGACAAGTACACTCCACAAAATTCACATTAGTCTATTTGTTGCTATCCAACCATTCTCTTCTTTGTCTACGTTGTGACTCTCAACTTGTGGAATGGCCTGCCTGAGGACATCAGACAAGCTCCCCCTTTCCTGGCTTTCCACAAACTATGCAAAACTAAACTATTCAAGAGGGTTTTTTCTGCGCAGGTAATAGTGTTGTGCTGTACAAAATGGTTCACAAACTTACCTGAATAAACGATCGGGACTGTGGTCTATACTGCTGTGTATAGCTTCTTATAATAAGATTCTGTTATGTAATTTCTGTACCACTTAGTGTGTCATGTAAATATTTATGCTATATTTCAGTTCTTTCTGTTGCCTCCAGACTTCTAAATCCTAATAAATGTGTTACTGAATGTCCCATTTTGTTGATGGTACTGACTCATAGTGATCTGCCTTGAGAACCTGTGAGAAAGGCAGACTGTAAATAACAGAAATAAATAAATAAATGGATAAAAGTCGAGCTCTGTTCATAGTTCTTTGAATCTCACACAGCACTCAATAAGAGCTCAATTTGCACAGGTGACAAGAGGACCAAACTTCAGCATACAACTAAATAGACCCTTTGTGTGATGGACCTGACACAGTGAAGTAAACTACTACTTGTAGTTCTGCAACCAGGTTATTTATATAATAAGAGAATTAAAGAGGGCTAATACAATTTCTTTCTCAATTCCCCAATAGTAGATATTAACTCGAAACT